ACCCTGTCAGAGGAGCCAGCGTGAAGACTCGCCTCGTCAAGCCGACGATGGAGCGCCTTGCCGAGAGCCATCCGCTTGACGTCCTTGCGGTCGGCGGCGTCCACCTCCACGAAGGCCTTGTCGGGGGCGCTGTGGGACGTCTGGTAGAACAAAATCAAGTTCGCGACGGCGAGTATGAGAGCGCGCGAGCGGCACGCCATTGGCGAGCGCAGCTACTTAGGAGTGACAGCGAGGCATACCGCCAGCAGCGAGTCCCACGCGAGGGCGAGGAAGGATGAGCAGCAGCGTGACGATCAGCAGCACAGCGGAGCCGCCATGCCGAGCGTTCCTGCACCGCGGCGGGGGTCCGAGCGTATGAATCGGCCCCGTGGTGCGCGGCGCCTGAAGCTCTTGAGCCAAAATGACTGCGGGGAGGGGGAGGAGGGGGAGAATGAGGAGAGGGAGGAGGAGGAGGAGGAGGAGGAGGAGGAGGAGGAGGAGGAGGAGGAGGAGGGAGGAGGAGGAGGAGGAGGAGGGGGAGGAGGAGGAGGAGGAGAAGGAGGAGGAGGAGGAGGAGGAGGAGGGGGAGGAGGAGGAGGAGGAGGAGGAGGAGGAGGAGGAGGAGAAGAAGGAGGAGGAGGATAAAACGAACATCATATCACCCATCCTTCGCCGTGCGTGGCGCACCTTTTCGCGTGACGCAGCAATCTTGGACAGCGCCCCCGGCTGTCCGACGAATTCACAAATTGCCCCTTCGGGGGCTGGCAGAGAGAGCTTGAATTCGAATCTTGTCATCCCTACCCCGTCTCATCCTTCCTCCCTCCTCTTCCCCTTCCTCTCCCCGCTCCCCCATTCATCCCTCCCCCCGTCCGAGGGTGCCAGGAACTGCGCTGAGAGCAACAATGAAAGACAATCTGTTGCGTAGTGGGTCATGCCTGCCAGAAACTGGGCTTTTCCTTGAGGACCTGAGTGCCCGTCTCAATAAGGGGGTTCTTTATTTGTTAAGCCTGGCAATGCGTAAAACTCCGCAGTGTCAGCCATTGCGTATTCATATGATATCCGACTGGGTGGTGCAAGATATTTGTATACCTCCTCCTCCTCCTACTCCTCCTCCTCCCCCTCCTCCTCCTCCTCCTGGTCCTAATCAGATTTGCATCCTACTGCCAACGCGACCACGTCTATATGTTCTGCAACATGCAGCAACCACCTGCAGCCCGACGCACGGCGCACGCTCTCTCCCGACGAACCCCTTGCTCTTGGAATACTGCGCGAACGCAGTAAGTCGTTGAATCCACTACGCAAGATCCGCCATTGCCTGGCCCTCCATCGCCCTCAACATCGGGTCTTGCGCACTCTCTCCAAGACCCTCCGAGCCCCAATTTCCGGGCTTCCTCGGGGTTTCGCGTGACTTCGCGAGACCTCTGGAGCGTGTTTGGGGATCCAAGCCTGCAGCATGCCCTAGGATGGTCCCACGGGCTCGTCCTGGGACCCCGCTGAAGTTTCTTCAGCCGTCTTGCGGGCCCTGGTGGGTCGGCCCAGGAGACCCCACTCAAGCCAAGCCCTGAGGTTTGCCTTCTCCGTCTCGAGACCGTCTACGCTGGCCAGGCCAAAGATCGGGGGCGCGCAACCATGGATTCGCGATCTGTGGATTAGGCGCGCGGTCACCAAATCCATGGATCGGGGGAGGCGCCCTCCCCAAAATGCGGCCGGGGCCGCTTCGGCGGCTGAAATCCGCGATGTCCCATGGAAACGGGACCCGTCGCTACTAATCCCCACGCCCCCTTGATCCATGTTTGCGATCGCCTGAAAAGATGCTCCCGTGATCGCCCCAAGACGGACCCCCAGGCCTCCAGAGGCCCCAAGAGGGGCGCCACGAGGGCTCCCCAGAGGGGGAACTCGAAGGGGTCCCAAGAGGGGTCCCAAGAAGGAGCCCCAAGAGGGCCCCCAGGGGGGGAAATTGAAGGGGCCGGAGGGGCCCTCTCCCCCCGAGAGAGCCCTCAAACGGGGCCCAAGAGATCCCCACACGGGCCCCAGCAGGGGCCCGAAACGAGGCACTCGAGGGGGCCCGAGGAGCACTCCGCTCCAGGATGACCCACGAGACCCGCCAGCAGGCCCCTACAGGCCTGCAGGAGGCCTCTGGGAGACGCCCGCGAGGCCTCAAGAGGCTCCCAAGGGTCCTCCCTAAGAGGCCTGCAATCGGCTTCTGGCCCAAGACCTAGGCACTGTGGTGGCACGAGCCTTAGGTCGGGCTTGTCCCCCTACAGGGGGGTTTTGGACGAAAAATGAAGAATAAAAAAACAATAATAAACAACCCACTCAAAACATGCCCAAATAATGGCCCCCTATGCAATTTCTCAGCTTTTTTGAATATTCCTCCTGTAGAGGGACAGGCCCGACTTAACACGAGCCCATGGCCGCCAAGATGCGAACGTCTGGAGTGCCAAAGACCAGCGAAACACCCAACGAAGTATGCAGCGCTAACCAAATCTTCGAACTGCGCCGATATCCTTTGGGTCGAATTTGATTGGCGAGGATGTGAATTTCTGGATGGGCTCCGTCCCCACTGCCGGCTCCACCTCAGCTTCCACCTCCTCCTGCTGATCCTCCACCCGCTCCCCTTGCCCTCCTCGCTATCCTTTTCCTCCCCCTCTCTCCTGCTGCTGCTGCTGCTGCTGCTGCTGCTGCTGCTGCTTCTCCTTCTCCTCCTCCTCCTCCTCCTCCTCCTCCTCCTCCTCCTCCTCCTCAACGCGTGTAAATCATTGACCCTCGATCCCAGACCTCGATGCCCCTGATCTCTTTGTCAATGCGGGGCCTCCAGGGACCTCGGCCCCTGGGGACATCCCTGGGGACATCCCTGCACGGCCCCCGGAGCCGAGAGGGGCCGCCGGACGCCGAAGACGACGAGGGAGGACAGCCGGCTCGCTCTTCGGGGGGCGTCGGGGGTCTGGGCTCCTCCTCCTCCTCCTCCTCCTCCTTCTCCTCCTCCTCCTCCTCTTCCTCCTCCTCCTCCTTCCCCGCCTCCCCCGCCTCCGCCTCCTCCGCCTCCTCCGCCTCCTCCTCCTCCTCCTCCGCCTCCTCCTCCTCCTCCGCCTCCTCCTCCTCTTCTTCTTCTTCTTTTTCCTCCTCCTCCTCCTCCTCCTCCTCTGCCTCCCCCGCCTCCGCCTCCTCCGCCTCCTCCGCCTCCGCCTCCGCCTCCTCCTCCTCCTCCTCCTCCTCCTCCTCCTCCTCCTCCTCCTCCTCCTCCTCCTCCTCCTCCTCCTCCCCCCCTCCCCGTGCTTCCCGCCCTCTGCCCCTGGTCCTCGGCCGAGGCACGCGTCAGGGCGAGGCGGTCGTCGGCGGTCAGGCAGGGGGGGGGGGCGGCGCAGGAGGGGAGCGGCTCGCTGGGGCGAAGGGCCGTAGCCTGGTGTTGCCGGGGGGGAATGAAAGAGTAAGATAGCAAAGGGCAGGGGCACGTCGTTCATGTCTAATTGTGCTCATTTCTAATTGTGGTTGTTTCCAATTGTTCCTGGCTCCCTAGTGGCCAGGAAGAGGCCCAGGATAGAACAATTAGAAATGAAAGGATCTCGCCCCCCCGAAAATCAAAGAACTTTCGAAACATAAAAAAGGAACAATGGGTAGAGAGTCAGCTCACGCAGCTGGCTTTCCTGGCGCCTTCTGGCGCCGGGAGGCGCCCATGCATCGAGAGATGGGCCCGGCGGCGGGGCCGAAACCAGCTGCATGCAGCAAATTTTGATTTTGTAACCCCCCCTTTCCCTATCGAACAGGACGGGCGCCGTCATTTTGCCGTGTCTCCTGGAAGTCCTGGAGGGAGAGGGGAAGAGAACGAGGTCTTCCGCGGCCGCCGGATTCGCCAAGAAGGCGCCCTGGAGCGCGATCATCGCGAGGCCAGTCACGAAGCCTTGGCGCGGGGGGGTGGACGGGCCAACGGAGAGAGGCAAGTCTCCTCTTTGTCCTCGTCGTCCTCATCTTCTTGGTCGTCGTCGTCGTCGTCGTCGTCCCACAAACTCTGGGGCATCGCTTTGCAATCGCGGCAAGTTGTCGCTTTCTGCAACTGAAGCCCCCAAGCCCTAGGGCCGTTCTTGGCTCGCGGGGCCATCAACAGAAGACCCACGACGAAGAAGACAGCCCAGGGGCGGGGTCGAGGGCTCGGACGGGGGCTGGGTACTCGTCGTGCTCGTCTTCCCCGTCGTCTTCGTCCCCGTCGTTGTCCTCCTCCTCCTCCTCGTCTTAGGTCGGGCGTGTCCCCCCTACAGGCGGATTTTGGACGAAAAATAAGAAACCCAAATACACAACAAATATTCAAAAATGGTAAAGAGTCGTCACCGTTGTTTGTTATATAAATATTTTTTGTGAAAACTATGTTTGAATATTCTCCCTGTATAGGGACAACACCCCGTTAATCCTCGTCCCGTTCCTCCAACTCCAACTCCCTGCTCCCCTCCCGGCTCCCTACTGGTGCTGCTGCCGCTGCTGCTGCTTCTCCGTCTGCTCCCTCTTGCCTGTTGTCCCTCGGCTTCGCTCTCTGCACCGCTCCGTCCTCCCCACTCGTCTGCTTCCCGTCTCCGAATCCCGCATCCTTCCCCCCTGCGCCTGCTCGAACACAAATGCCACTCAGAAACGGAATGGATCGAACCGTGCTCAAACACATAATCACGCTTCAGCACGCGTCGGATACATGAAGAGAATGAAGAGTCTGATGGGCTGAATCAGCGACGACTGGGGCCATTCCCGGAATGTACATTCGTACTCCCTGGTGGACATCGGGAGCGATGGTATACCCGTGACATGCAATGACGTACCATACATTCGCAGACGGCATGCGTCAGAAGGAGGATGTGCATAGAGCGCGAGTATGTGAAACACCAAGAGTGGGAGAGCAAGTAGCAAACTTTCTGACTTGCCCAGGCATGCCACTACGAAGGGGAGGGGGAGAGCCTCTACTCTTCTTGCTAATCCAGCGACGCATGTCAGAATTACTTCGGATGAAGCTGCGACTCAAAATCATGTTCAACAACGGGGCCTCAATTGATGGCGCGCAACGGAATTCTCTCTCCCAGCGGAGCGGTGTCGAGCAGCTGGCCGTCAAAGACCTCTCTGGAGACGATGAATTGTTTATTCGTGCGTCCGAGTATCCCCACCTCACTCCCATTCCTGCTCCAGTCGGCTGACCTTCCGCGCGAAGTAAGCCGAACGCCACGCGGCTCACCACCATCTCGAAAGGATGTCGTGATGACACACAAGGAGAGCGTGGACACATCGCACTTGTCTTCCACAGGGAAGATGTGGTTCATCATATAGGACTGAACGGTCTCTGGATGTCGGACACAAGTTATAAGTTGCATTTCGCAAACAGTGCTTGCGCTTAGGGGTTCTTGTCTCCCTACGGGACTGGTTGGTTCCGGCGAATATGTTCCACGTTGCACGCTGCCGCCTGTTGCCGCCTTGTTGCCGCCTCGTGCGCTGGGCGTCTCTGGTGAGGTTTCGCCTCGTTGCCGCCCGTTGCCACCTAATTGCCGCCTCGCGTAGCCGCCTGTTGCCGCTTCGTTGCTGCGCTGGGTGGGTCTGGCGGGGTTTCGCCACGTTGCCACCCGTTGCCGCCTCGTTGCCGCCTCGTGCGCTGTGGGTCTGGCGAGGTTCCACCACGTTGCCGCCCGTTGCTTCCTCGTTGCCGCCTCTTGCGCTTGGTGGTTCGGGCGAGGTTTGGCCACGTTGCCGCCCGTTGCCGCCTCGTTGACGCCTCGTGCGCTGGGGCGTTGCCGCCCGCTGCCGCCTCCTTGCCGCCTCGTGTGCTGGGTGGGTCCAGCGGGGTTTACCCACGTTGCCGCCTCGTTGCCGCCTCGTGCGCTGGGTGGGTCCAGCGAGGTTCCACCACGTTGCCGCCCGCTGCCTCCTCGTTGCCGCCTTGTGCGCTTGGTGGTTCGGGCGAGGTTTCGCCACGGTGCCCCCCCATTGCAGCTCATTGCCACCTCGGTGCGCTGAGTGGATCTCTCGAGGTTTCGCCACCTTTCCGCCCGTCGCCGCCTTGTTGCCGCCTCGTGCCCGCCGGAGTTTCGCCACGTTGCCGACCCGTTGCCGCCTCGTGCGCTGGGTGGGTCTTGCGAAGATTTGCCACGCCCGCTGCCGCCTCATTGCCTGTTCGTTCGCTGGGTGGGTACGGCGAGGTTTCGCCGCGTTGCCGCCCGTTGCCGCCTCGTTGCCGCCTCGTGCGCTGGGTGGGTCTGGCGAGGTTTCGCCACGTTGCCGCCCGCTGCCGCCTCGTTGCCGCCTCGTGCGCTGGGTGGGTGCCGCGAAGATTCGCCACATTGCCGCCTTGTTGCCGCCACGTTGCTGCCCGTTCCCGCCTCCTTGCTGCCTCGTTGCCGCCTCGTGCGCTGGGTGGGTCCAGCGAGGTCCCACCTCGTTGACGCCCATTGCCGCCTCGTTCTCTGCCTCGTGCAGGGGAAGATTTCGCCCTCTGCCGCCTCGTTGCCGCCTCGTGCGCTGGGTGGGTCTGGCGAGGCTTCGCCACGTTGCCGCCCGTTGCCACTTCGTTGCCGCCTCGTGCGCTGGGTGGGTGCGGCGAGGATTCGCTACGTTGCCGCCCGCTACCACTTCGTTGCCGCCTCGTGCGCTGGGTGGGTCTGGCGAGGCTTCGCCACGTTGCCGCCCGTTGCCACTTCGTTGCCGCCTCTAGCTTGCACGACGTATAATGTACCACATAGCTTACACCGCATAGCTGGCGCATCCACGGTGCTATAAGTTACTGCTTGGGGTCCACGCTGGCTAATCTTGTATTTACTGGGCCCAGAACCGCCGATTCTCTCTCTCTCTCTCTCTTGGGCCGTTGACGTCGCTGTGCATATTTGAAAATCCGTCTCATTCAACGTGTCATGCTCCTACTGATGCTTCGCGGCGCTGACGCAATGTCAACTAGCACAGTCGATATCCTGACGGCTGCACCATGCCTTGATTTGGAAACGCTACCCATGTACTACCTTTGGAGCGTGTAAGCGCGAGGTCAAAATTGGTGTACAGCAGAATTCACGTGGCGTAGCAGCGATCACAATATCATTAGTGGGCAACGCTAGCAACATTATGTGGCGGAGGCCAGCATGCAGCGCAAGATCGGGATCGCCAGAACAACGCGGCCTCAACAGCAGAGCGACAGGGGGGAGGCTGAACAATTTGTTATTCCCTGGCGCGCGCTGTTCTAGGGGTCAGCCCCACGACGTCCGAGGAGTCTTGGGCGAGGGACCCTGTGCACGGTGCACTGGGCGAGGGATCCTGTGCCAAGTGTCTTGGGCGAAGGATGCTGGGTGAGGGGTCGCGGTCTGCAGCCAATGCGGTCCAAGACGGCCCCCGCGCGAATGCGCACGCGCGCTCTCTCCTCAGCGGGCTGGCGCGTGGGAGCCGCGGCCGCGGCTGGGCGGCCGCGGCTGCCACGCGTGTGCGCACTCGCGCTCTTGCCTCTTTCTTCACCAGCTCTAGAGGCCGCGAGTCCCAGTGCAGAAACAGGAAGTCACCCCAGGACGTACCCAACCCATCTACAACACATGGCAATATCAACGGGCCCATCCAAGCAGAGTGAAACTTTGAAGGGGCGCACTGCTCCGAGCGAAAACTGCATGAGGATCCTACTCTTGCGCGCCTGATGGGAGCAGTAAGAGGCGACACCAAGAAAATGGAGGGGGGAAGCAGGAAGACGACAGCGAGGAGGAAGAGACAGGGCCTTCATGGATGAAGCGAGCATAAGCAAGCATGTCCTCCTCTGGAACGCCGCATGCATTCCGACACCACGAAATCCGCCGACCCTTCGGCGTGTGGACGTGGACGACGACGCTGTCGTGGTCATGGTCGTGGTCGTCGTCGCCAGTCTCAGGGAAATCGAGAAGCACAGAATACAGGGGAGCAGTCAAGTCGAAGGGAAGGCCCTTCTCTTTGATCCCTTCCCTGCAGGGAAGGGGGGGGGGGGAAGGTGGGGTGGGGGGTCTCGGGTCAGAATGCCGCCCAACGGGTCCCGGAGGGTCTGGCGGGACCAGCAGGGGTCCCGTACAGGTCCCGCCTTCAGGGTCGGCGGCGCCGGCCGTCACCAGACCGCTCGCCGCACGGGAACGCTGCTTGGAGAGTCGGCGCGCGTTCCGTTGTGGACAAGCAGCGGACAAACATCGCTGTCAAACGTCGAGCTAAGGCTGTGCCATCAGGGCTGCGCCTGAGTGTCTGGATGACTATCCTGCCAGTCCGCATTTCTGTTCCTGTGGGTCCGAAGGGCGACTGCTGGGCCAAACTGAAGGGAACATGTTCTGGCCACCTGGTTGTAACCTCTCTGGATCCGAAAAACGACCGCTAAGCCAAAACCAAGGAAACGTTTTCTGGCCACATGGGTGGTTTTCATGCGGGTCCGAACGACATCCGTCAGGCCGAGATGAAGGACACGTTTTGGCGTCACACAGAGGTCGTTCATGTTTGTCCGAACGACGACTGTTATGCCGACGTGCAAGACATGTTTTTGGACTACCTGGATGGTGATCCTGCGGGTCGGAAGAATGACCGCTTATCCAGAATCGAGGACGTCTTCCAGTCACCTCGAGCTTCGGGTGCCTACGAAAGTTGCAATATATACGAAGTTGGCAGCGTCTTGGGAGGGAGGGACTTCGTTTGGGTTTGCGTAGACTCGCTCTCCGCTGGACCTCCCCAAGCTCTCACGAACGTTGCGACAGTTGTGCAGTTGGCAGCACCCAGGGGGGGCGAGTTATCATTCGGAGATGGATCTGCGTAGGGCCCCCCCCAAAGCGCTCTAAGAACCTCCCCAAGAGCCGGCAAGCGGCTCCCAAGACGCCCCAAGAGGCCTCGGAGAAGCCTTCAAGAGACATCCCAAGAGACCCAAGGAAATATCCGAATGATGCCACCCTGCCCCGTTCAGGGAAGCTCCGCTGAGAATCGTGCCTGGACTGGCTGGTGGGGATGCGCGAAGCGTTAAGCATTTGCTACACCCCTGAAGGGTCCAGCGGAGTGATAGCACACGCAGGTCCAGATGGCAACTCGCCCATGTCGCAACTTCACCGCGCCCCTGGGGGATCCAGCGGAGTGGCGTCATACGCCGATCCAGATGAGACCTCGTTCACACTGGATGCTGCCAAACGCGAAGTTGCCGCAACTTTGCTGGCCCCTGTAGGGTCCAGCGGAGTGACGTCATACACAAATCCAAAACAGGCGCCGCCCTCTCTTGGTGACTCGGGGCCCCCGAAATTGCCCGAGACGTGCCCAACCTCTTGTGCACGCGAGGCGACTCTTATTGTGCACGCTTCATATGAAAGAGCACGTTGCGAGATATGCGATACGCAATAATTAAAAATGTGGGGCCACGCACGTCGCGCACCTGCGGAACATAGAACCGGGAGCAACTGTGGAGGAGGATGAGGAGGAAGAGGAGGTGGAGGAGGAGGAGGATGACGATTAGGTCGGGCGTGTCCTCCCACAAGCGGATTTTGGACGAAACGCTAAAAATAATCAAACATATTCAAAAATACGGAAAAATCGTCCCCAGACTATTTGGGACTATTTTTGAATATTCCTCCTGTAGAGAGGCAGGCCCGACTTAAGACGAGGAGTAAGAGTAAGAGGAGGCGGAGGAAGAGGAGGAGGAGGAGGAGGAGGAGGAGGAGGAGGAGGAGGACGATGCTGAGGAGGAGGCGGATGAGGATGAGGATGAGGAGGAGGAGGAGGGGGATGATGATGATGATGAGGAGGAGGAAGAGGAGGAGGAAGAGGAGGGCAAGGAGGATTGCGAGGGAAGAGGAGAAAAGTTGGTGAAAATTACAACGCCATGCGCTACATCAGATCGGTTCGCCCGCGTTGCCGCTGCCTGTGACGGGCGCCTGAGGAGGGGGGGGATGTGGGCCACCGAGGACAGCGCCATGCGCTACGTGACGCTCCAGCGCCCTGCGCTCTGTGATGCAACAACTCTGCGCGCTGATTGAGGTCAGCCACCCAGGGGGCGGTGAAGTCCCGCCTGGGTGCGCGTGGCCCTCGACTCCGCGGGACCTCCCAAGAACCAACGAAAGTGGTGACAATTGCACAGTTCGGAGCCACCCAGGGAGCAGCGAGGTCCCGT